GGGGGGGCCCCGGGGGGTGGCAAAGTTAAATGCCCACGAATCTCATTAGGGCTTATATACATATGAAAGAGAGGGTTTAGAGTTTAGGGATTAGGGTTTAGGGATTAGGGTTTAGGGTTTAGGGATTAGGGTTTAGGATTCATAGAGATACCGTTGATGATAGAAATCCTGCATTACCTTAAGGACCCTAAACTATGGGAATCATGGCATATTCAACATTATTATGGGCAATGCAGGATTTATATCATCAACCGTAGATCTGTAGTTAAATCGTAAATTATAGGGATTCTTACTCTGGTGTGCTTTAGTCATCAGTCTAAGTTGCCATAGTTTTAGGAGCTACAGCAAAAAAACAAGGATGCCTGAATGCGGTAGCTTAACTTGCAAGTTCCGAAACAAGAACCCAGCATCCAGAAGGACGTGGGGATCTCGGATATCGGAGAAGCCTGTCGCAGGATCCGAGGCCTCAGCACCACGACAAGCCACGCCTTTAGTGCCATCCCCTGCTATGCAAGAATCTGCAAATGGATCTCCACTGAGAGCTCTTGAGCCACCGACTTCCCAATACCTGAAGCCCAGCACCCGGGCATCATCAGGCAACGGCAGTGTGAAACGTTGGGTTGGCATCTTGCCCTCCTCGAGGCCATCCAAACCTTCCAGTCCGTCTGCCAGCTGCACCAGCTGGGGCACTGGGCTGAGATGCAGCTCGAGGCGTAGGAGCCGCATAAAGCTCCGCTTCAACGCATCATCAAGTTTGACTCTGCCGTCGTCGACTTGAAGTTCCTCTGGGCAGACCAGCGTCGCTGCGAGGCTTCGTTGACGCCTGGAGCTTAAAGGCAGCAACTGATGGTTTAGGGTTTAGGGTTTAAGGTTTTACTCTCCACTCCACCGCCGCGAAACAAGCAAAACCGAGGGCCTCTGGCGCTCCGAGGGCAGCGCTTGATAGGCCGTCATGGCTTGGGTCTTGCTCTCTCTGACCCGCTGCGGGCTGTTGGAGCCGAGGCTGTCAACGTACTGAGACCCATAGTGCCATAGTGACCACGTGAGGCCCGTCACTCCGTTAGGCGGGATACGACGCAGAAGAGCACACCTCCTACACCCGAAACTCTAAACTCCAAACCGTTTAACCCTAAACTCTGAACCCTAGACACCTGAAGCGCGAAGACGGCCCAACTTGGGAAGTCATCCCTTGAGATTCATTGGACCTATGCCCGACATAGCCCGACATTCATGGACCCGTCCTTCTTGAAACACACAATCGCTAAACCCTAAACCCTAAACACTAAACCCCAAGCCCTAAGCCCTAAACGCTAAACCGTTTAAACCCTAAACCCTACACCCTAAACCCTAAACCGTAAACCCTATAAACCCTAAACCATACATCACCCCCTTTGACGCCAGCATCCGAAAGACCGAAGACCCGACCCCCGAGAGCTCTCAGAGCCCTGTCCTTGGGAGTTCGGAACCCTGGGTCACGCTTGCCTGCCTTTCTACCAAAACCGACCTCTTCGTAGGGCCCCTCTAGATTCGTTCGATAACTATTTTGGGCTTGAGTTTATAAGAATCAGAACCCACAAAAAAAGTAGGCTCCCTCTAAGTTCGATATTTATTTAAATTTGGGTCTGATAAAAATAATAGGAACCCACAAAAAAAGGTAGGTAGCTGCTTGAAAGCCCTCCGGAGACGCGACCTCGGAGAGCCCACGGCACGGAGAGGCCACGCAGGGTGCAGCAAGGGCCTCGCCGATGGAATTTTGTTTCCTTCTGGAGCTGCCTAATATGGGAAGTTCTCTAGATCAGTGGTCCCTTTTAATCCTTTTTTAAACAATGTAACGTGCTATAATGGGGACCCAGAAAAGGGACCCTACTTTAGAGAACTAGCCATGTGGGAACCTGCTTAAGAGTTCTTGGGTCTTGATTAGGGCTCCCGACCTGGATCCTCATGTTGTGGGAGGACCAAGGATTCTTCATCAGGTTCCTACAAGTACATTAGTTTAGGGTCTACAGGGTTTAGGGTTTCGGGTTAAGGGTTTGGGGTGTACATTAAGAGAAGCAAGCCTCCACACGAATGCATCTTATAAGCCTACTGCGGGAGCAAGAGGTGTGTGACTAGATCGAAACTCCCTCTGGAAACCCTACGACTGGGAGGTCCCCGAGCCCGTAAGAGCCGCAGTCGAAGCATCGAGCACCGCCCAGCGGAGGAAGACATCTACAGCACAGCCGAAGGCCTCCACTCTCAACCTTCCTAAACCCTAAACCCTAAACCTAAACCCCTAAACCCTAAACCCTAAAAAAACAGAAAGAGACCGCAACATCGAAGACCCACTCAACTCGAGGCAAGTCTCGGGCTTCGGGTCTGGAGCGCAGAACTCTACGAGTCGAGGGCTCTCCCAACGTATATGGGCATTAGTATTAGTATTTTTATTACTAACTCTAATGTAGGGTTTAGGGTTCTAGGGCTTAGGGTTTAGGGTTTAGGAATACTAAGGCCCCTATAATTTAAGGTCTATTCCTGAATTAAGGAATAGACCTTAAATATATAGGGGCCTTTTTATTATGATTTAAGGTATATTCCTTAATTAAGGGGGTATTGGGTTTTAGGGTTTAGGGTTGGCTTCCCATGGATCGATGCAGCGGGTTCCGGGTCTCCGGGGTTTCTTGCCGTGGCGCTTCCGATAAGAAAAAGAACAAGGGCACGCCGGTCGTCCTGCCACCCGCCCCGATGCACTTTCGCATAGGGCGCCCCAGAGCAGACCTGGGCAGATAAGCTCGGAGGAGCCGCTCTCTGTCACTCCGGGCGAGCTCGTACGGAGTCTCCCGGGTGCGCTTCAGATCGGAAGACCCCATGCACCAGCAGAGTTCCTGCGAGATTGTCATCCATGTCAGAGCACCTCCGAACCACCACAAGTGTTGAGATGAGGATATCCTGCTGTCCCGAAGGTCGTGAAGATGGGAGGTCCAAAATAGTACGAACCTTGCTAACCGTAACTGACCCGAAACCGTCAACAGGAAAGCCCTCAACAAATCCTGAGACGTAAACCTTTAAACCTGAAAACTCCAAAATCCCGTAACTCTGCAACTGCCTCAGACCCTAAACCCCAAAAGGAACAAGCCCTAAACCCCCAAGCCCCTAAACCCACCCGCTAGCACCAACTACAAAACAAAGCAAAGGGCCTGAACCCTATGTAAGGCCAAATTTCAGAAAACAAGAATGGGCCTCATAAAACCCTAGTTAAACCCCTAAAGCCCAAAACCGAAAGAGCCCGAAGGTCCTACTGTAGAAGCCAGAAACTTGGAACATCATGATCCTCATGCCCTTAACGTAAAAATGTAGGGAATCTTAGCACTCATCATCCCTAATCCATGTTCCACCTTTCCTGGGGTTCACTATAATCAGAAGGCGATTTAGGGTTTAGAAGGGTTTAAGGGTTTTTTTGGGGGGTTTAGGGTTTAGGGTTTAATTAAACCCCAAAGAACCCGGTCGCAGGCGGCCTCAGAGCAGCTCTTTCGCAAAGCGCAAGGCCCAGCAAAAAGGGGCGGAGTTTCTTGGGGATCCTCGGCTTTGTTTTGGGCTTTGGCTCTTTTTGTTTGGGGGGGGGGGGAGGCTGTGAGGGGTGCGGGGGGCTGGAGGGTTTTGGGAGTGGTTGCCTGTTTTTTTCTCGGATTTTTTGGTGGTTTCGGGGCTTCTAGGGCTTTTCGGTGTGTTGGGTTGATTGGGGTTCTTGGGTTTAGGGTTCTAGGCTGGGGTTTTGTGGTTGGGCGAGACAGCCATAACTTCTTGACATTTTTCGCATCGAACTTGTGAGCCCCCATTGTGAACTCCATATTATTAACTGCAGACTTCCACGATGCAAGTTAGCGGGGCAGAGACCATGTAGCCTCCTGCTGTGGAGGTTTCTGTGGAGACGAAAGGGGCTCCCAACTTTGCTTCAAGAATCTGTGCTCAGAATGTGCACTGTGAGTGGTTGCCTTCCGACTTCCCGAAAAGTCTTTAAGCTAAGCCCGGTGCTACCCCGAACGTTGCGCCGAAGCCTCGACGGATGGCCTGTCCACGGGCTGGCTGAGCGCAAAGGACTCTTCTCTCTTTGTCATGCCGAGGTCCATCTACATACCACGTCAATGCTTTGCAGGGAACATGCTGAAGACATGCAGTGCTGTCAAGGTTTGGCAGAGGTGCATGGGACTCCATTTTCCGCCGAGCCGAATTCGCTATTGATTTGGGATTGGATTACCTGTGCCACTGATTCGACATGGGCCCAGTGGCTGCGTGAGACTGCTGGCTGTGTGTTATCATTGACAGCGACCAGCATCAGAAACGGTCGTACATGTTTCTTCCCGTGCCGTGCACGCTTGCCCTTACAATGAGCCGGCCTACGATCTAGGTTCCACGACCTACATAAAACCCAAATGCGCGATCTCGAAGGCCCAAAACCAAGTCTGTGAAACAGACGAGTGGTGGAGATCTTCTAACCTTGATGATCGCATAACCGCATTCAACAGACCTTGGTTTCTGAACATAATCGACGTCTTCCCATGCTACAGTTGAGACTCTCAACTCCGAACGTTGCAGCCAATGGCATGGGATGCAAAATCAAAATTAAAGAAGAAAGAAGCAAAATGCTTCTTCAGGACTTTAGGAGCCCAAAAAGATCACACAAACACACGAACGATCTCACCAATGGAGGTTCGAAACCTATTATACTCTTCGCGATCCTTGAATGTATGTATGCGCTTTTGGCTCTCCAGCAGTAGACTGGACCGGTCCTTGCACGAATTGGACTCCAAGGGTGGAGGCCTGTCTGTGCAGGGTCCCAGTTAAGGCTTGGCATCAATACAGACTTGAGCCTTTCTTGAGGATGCTTTATTTCAGGTCGAGAAGGCATAGAACTCTAGTCTCCGGATGGTTGAACGTTACGGGTCGTAGGGCTTCGGGTGTGGGGCCCGAAGGTCAAGCGTTGAGGATTCAGAATTTGGATTTCCGGTGTCGCCCTCTAGGCTTTCGCATCGAAGCAGGGCCTCTGATCCTCCGACATGTCTAGCAGATCCTTGTGCGCGCGAGCAGAATCCCGTCGAGACTAGTACACGTGCTGAATTGTAACTATTCGCGTAGAGGGATCTGGGCAGTTGATATTGCAGGTTCTTCAACCCTGAAACAATCAAACCGTTTAAGATACTACAGATTTTCCGGAGGTCGTTTAGGGGTTGTCATCTTTCGATGTGGAGTACCTCGCAAGTTGAAATGCCGAAGTTGTCGTACCCCCAACAGCAGGGAAGCTTGCTCTCGCCCATCATCTGGTGCAGGATTCGCGCGCAAAATGCTTAACCCACCAAGGCTGCGAATTCAAAAACTCGCGATCATGAGCCTGGTGCAGGTGGCGCAGCGCTTCCCTTTGCTCGTCTGAAATGCCGTAGATCTCCTGGCACTGGCATGACAGTCGGATCTTGGAAGCGGGTGCGACGACCACGGGTTGGTCGTCATGCCCGGTTTAGGGCTTACTTACTGTCTCCATTGTAGTTCCTTTTGTTGGTTTAATTGGCAAATTCTATATAGGATCCCATAAAAGTAACATAGAAAGGGAACTACAGTGGAGCGTGTATGTTTACAGTCTAGAAGTTTCAATAGGGGGCTAAAACTCACAGGGTTTAAGGGTTTACGTTTAGATGGTTGGCGGGCACACATGTCATGATGATACTAATCATCTTGATCACGCTCACCACCAAATCATCTTGAGCGTCAGCATCGTCCTCATCATCTGCAGCTGCAGCAGCAGCAGCAGCAGCAGCAGCAACATGAGCATGACGGTAACGGGTTCATGTAAGCTTCCTGCTAGGAGGCCTCCGTCGGCGTGCTTCGCCCGGCCTTGTGATGGCAGTGGCGACCCTTCCCCCCGAAGGCTCGTCGGTGCAACGCAACGAGCTCGCGTCCTTCGGCTCAGGGCAGCGGGCCAGGGCCGT